GCATCGAAACCAGGATTCCCAGCCTGAGCAACAGCGGAGAGAGAGCAGCTTTTACATCAATTTAAAGAAGCCTCCACCTGGATGTCCTGGGATCACAAGATAATCTTTCAGGAATAGCAGCTGACCTGTTTTTGATCTTTGACGGTGTCGTTCGTCTTTGCTGACTGTGAGACAAAGAAGAACAACGTTAGTTAAACTGACTCAAACACTCGACTTTGTCCCATGAAGCGTTTCGTAATTTGGTCCAAAACATGAACAATGACATCATTTCCTATTCTTCCATTAACTGAAGACAACAGATAAGCAAACACACAAATCAGAACATCACAAAGCTTTGTTTGCTGCCACAGCAGAGAAAGTAAAGGTACTTTCAGCTTTATTATCAACATAATTTCCTTAAATGTTAAGGAGCCCTGGTTCCAGACCGGGCGGAGACACAAGCGCAGGCTCAGAGGGGCACAAACTAGTGTAGCTCTCATACTGATCCTAGATGAGGAACAGGAGCGTGGCGTTAGAAAGGGCGTGAGGTAGGGTGCACAATCTGCGGAGGGTGAAGTTGAGAGCAGCAGCTGTTTGTACGAGCGTGGAAAGAGCTTATCTCAGCTTCTGCTGTTCGTTATTTTACACATTAACACCCTGAAATTCAACTGTTGGTCTGACACTGTGTATTTATGCAGGCATGCAATTACATTTTCTGCATGCTCCCCTTTATGCTCAGTGAATGCGCATTCATATCTTTGTGGGGACCAAAATCCTTGTCCCCACAAGATATGAATACCCAACGCGTGTGCATGATGTGCTCACCTGTGGCTTTGGAGCCTCTCTCTTTCGTCTCCCTGAAGCGTTTCCTGTGCTTGGCTGAAATACAAACAGCAGCTTAAACCAACCGGACAAACCAGAAAAGGTGTGTGAGCAAAGCGGCCATGATGATTCTCATCAGACACGCAGAGCATGTAAAACACGCGCAGTCTGAGACACACCTCAAAGGGTCAAACTGGGAGTACAGTCAGTACACAGAGCTGAAGCTAGCTGCCGAGACAAAGGGCCGTAGTGCTTCAGGTGTTTGGTTTTTTGATTGTGAAGAACAGAAGGAAAAAGCTCACCTGTGCCTGCTGCAGTGGTTTCAGTGGATGTATCGCCTCCGATTGATTCAGGTTGAACTGAGTCATAAAACAAACACGCCCGTCTTAGCGTTCAATCACCACACAGACACTTCATTCAGTATTTGCACTGTATGTGCGCGTGTGTGTGTTCACCTTGGGGTTCTGATGGTCACAGTGGATTGTATCATACGTGTGTGAAGAATAGGACCCAGTTCCTCCTTCTCTCTTGACGCTCTCGGACACGGAGTAGTCTTTTGCCAGCTCTTTCTGCAGATGGCACACATGTGATCATTTGACATGTTGGATCCTGAGACGAGACTCAGTGTTGTCACACTTATAGCAGTCCCAGGATTATGAATTTAAAAAAACAATTAAAACTGTGATTGTTGTTATTGCATTTAGTGGGAAAGCAACTAGATGACAGAAAGAAGAAACTGAATCCTGATTGTTTGGGAACGCTCCTGTGTGGAGTGTAAACAGAAGGAGGACAGACGCAGCGAGGCCCAAAGGTTTGGGGAAGGGCCGCCATCTTTGTAGTCTTTACCCGCAGACCATCAGATTACATGTATATGTGGGGTGTGTGTGTCAACTCAAGCATATCAACATTCTCTGAGGTTTGCAACACTTCCTGTTGGAGAAGTGTTGCATCAACTCGTCTGCAGCAGAGCCAAAGTTTTACTGCCCTTCAAAAAAAGCATTGTGTTTGTATTTTAAAATATTAATGCAAATTAACTAATAGAATATATCCTTTCACTTTAAGTCAGAATGTTATGACATCCTGGAAAGAAATATGGTCTTATGCACCCCATGCCCACCTTTAGATTCACCCCTGCTTCTTGCAGGTATCACTGCCGTAGACAGTTTATCATATCAGAAGAAGTTTACAGCTCATCTGCATATTTTAATGCAGCTTCTTTTTTCTCTGTGTGGATGAAGCATCTACAGAGTTCTCCTTCCTTCACGCTGAAGCTTGTGGATCAGGTGCTTTGCTTTAAAGGTGACTACAGGAACAAGCACCGCTCGCTTGGATCACCTCTGCTTCCTCGCTGTGTTCCTGTGTGTGTGGACAGACTCCACATTAACCTGCTTGCTCATAGGAGGTCATATAATTGGTGGGTTTTTCTCTGTACATATTACTGTAGGGTCGACCTTAAAATATAAAGCGCCTTGAGGCGACTGTTGTTGTGATTTGGTGCTATATGACAACATCATCCTCACTGCTGATGTTGTGTTATCAGTGTTGCTGTTAAGAAACTGGAGCCTGTGTGGTCAGAGCCGTAAATAAAGCACAAAAAATGTGCATTGAAGATCCTTTTTTTTAAAGTCAAGTTATACATCACCTCCTTACTGATCCTGTCCCGTTATTTGTATTATTCAATGAATAATGGTTGGAGTTAATACGTCTGTTAAACCCTTAAAGCTGAACGTCTGCACTTCACGTGACTGTCTGACTCGGGCTAGTGCACAAAGGCAAAACTGTCCACAAACTTCCAACCCTAACTGTTAATCAGTAATGATGTTGGGACTCTGTGTTTTTGAGTGTCTGTGTGCGACAAAGTTACAGGTTAAAAGAAAATACTCAGATCATCTGCAGAAGTTTGCAGAAGTCCAAAACATGGAAGTAGCGAATGCTCCAAATAAGCAGTTTCCAGAGAAGAAAGCAGAGCGTCTTACGTCCAGGTTGAAGACTTCGTCGCTGCAGCGCGAGCTCCTCAGATACCAGGAAATGTTCAGGATCGGGTGAGAGGCGGTGCAGTCTTTTGACACAACTGCACACACAAACAAGCCAAATTAACTCACTTCTAGGCCGCAATGCTGTTCCACTTGTTATTTTCTTTATTTCACTTCATAATTTTAACCTGACCCAGTGTTTCTAAACCAATGCTCAAAGTCAGCTTTCTTCTGATTGGCTATCCTTCATTAACAAAACGTTTGAAGAGTGGGTGGGTGGAGCTTCTGTCCTCTCAGACAGACACACAGGTAAACCTGAAAGTGTCTGCCTACATTTAATATGAACACGTGATATGTTCTGTAAAATAAAGTTTAATAAGTCCACTTTAAGTAAGCTTTTTCTTTCAGAATGTGAGACATTAGTTTCTGCTTCTGCCTGCACAGCAAACATAAACTGGACTTTTTGGACAAAGCCAAACGTTATTATCCAACTCTGTAAAATAAAGATTTAGGAAAGAAGAAACATCTGCTTACATTTGATACTGATAAAGCTGTTATTGAACAGAGTTTTACTGTAGAAGAAGTACGTCTGGTCCTTCAGGACAGCCTGAAACAAACAAAGAAAATCCATTTTTATTCTCTGACAGTTAATTAAGTCACAACTAGGGCTGCCACAAACGATTATTCTGATAGTCGACTAGTCAGATCATCATCCACTGGACGTACAGCTTATTGCACCAGCAGCATCTGCTCTTATATAACTATCATTAGCTTACAGCTTTAAGTGTTTAAGGTCTGTGCTAACTAACAATAAAGACAAGATGATGGTTTATTAAACTTTTAATGACATTTGCAGATTGTCTCGGTGGAGTTTAATAAATTTGTCCGTCTGTTCTATCTAAATATAACAGGACACAGGAGTAAACTCTCGACCGTCTCACACTTCTGTTTAATCAGTTTTCTGTTTGA